CGACTTGCTTGTAGTACTTTCTGGTACTGAGAATGATCAACAGATCCAGGCAAAAGTTGATGTTGGGTACAAGGTAATGTGGATCGTAATCGTCGACCCATGAGTAGCTGAGAGGGTGATAGGTTTGCCTCCATTGGGGTAGTACGGTACTCTAGAATACCAATGTGTGGATCTCTGCCATCTGTCTTCGCCTTGGAAAAAATGCGCTTGATTGTTTGGACAGTTTTCTCGGCAAGACCATTTGACTGTGGGTAACGAGGGCTTGATGTCTCATGCACAAAGTCCCATTTTTCTGCAAACTGAGCAAAGTCTTGTGAGGAGTACTGGGGGCCATTGTCAGATATCACCTTATCCGGTATCCCATGTCTCGCAAATACATCTTTGACAGCATTGATAACAGTGGTGCTTTTGGTGCTGGGTAATTTGCAAACTTCAAAGTACCTGCTATAATAGTCGACAACGACCACAAAATCATGGGTGTCCCATAAGAAGAGATCTGTGGCCACGGTCTGCCAAGGACGACTGGGAATGTCATGTGATATGAGGGGTTCCTTGTGGTTAGAGTTTCTTCTCTCTAGGCACACAGAACAGTTGAGTACAAGACTTGTGATATCATTCGACATTTTGGGCCAAAACAAAATGTCACGAGCACGTCGGAGACACTTTTCAACTTCCATGTGTCCAGTGTGAATTTTGTCAAGCATACTTGTCCTCAGGGACTTGGGTATGACAATTTTCTGGCCCTTGAATATGATGCCATCCATGAAGGCAAGTTGGTCCCTGAAGTTCCAGAATTCAAGTATTGTCCCTGGGCATAGCTTCCTATGTTCAGGCCAACCATCTATGATAGTTTGTTGGAGCAAGGAGAACTGAGGGTCAGCTTCTGTGGCTCGTCTAATATCCTCCATCCTCTTCTCACTGACAGGAACATTTGATACTATCATATGGACATGCGCGTCCATACCTTCTGAAAGGTGCGGGTAGGTATCAGGCACTGACTTGCGTGAAAGTGTATCAGCTACTACTATTTCCTTCCCAGGTCTGTGTTCAACTGTGAGGTCATACTTTTGTAGCTGCAACATCATACGCTGTAACCGAGCAGGGGCGACAGCAAGAGGCTTCTTCATGATAGAGATGAGAGGTTTATGATCGGACTCGACTTTCACATGCCGACCATAAACATACTGGTGGAAACGCTTACAGCCGAACAGGATAGCAAACATTTCCTTTTCGATCTGTGCATAATTGACCTCCGTGGTGGTCAAAGACTTAGATGCATAAGTGACAGGCTTCCCATCCTGTAAGAGAGTGGCACCAAGACCATACTTGGATGCATCAACTTGGAGTGTTAGATCCTTGTCTGGGTCGTAGTAGGCAAGAACTTGCCCAGGTGTCTGTGTGATGATATCCTTGATTCTCTGAAATGCTGTGGACTGAGGATGATCCCACACAAACTCAACGTCTTTGGGAAGGAGCTGTCGCAGAGGGCTGGTGATCTCGGACAGATTAGGAGCAAACTTGGCTAAATAATTAACCATTCCAAGAATTGTTTCCAATTCAGAGCGGTCAGGTGGTGGATTCATTGAGCATATAGCAGAGACCTTAGCTGGGTCCGGTCTGAGGCCTTCAGCACTCAAGATGTGTCCAAAGTATTGGATCTCTGTGACACCAACTTCAAGCTTCTCTTCGTTAAGCTTAATACCTTTGTCACGGGAGCGGGAAAGCATGTTCCGCAGGTTGTGATCATGCTCCTCGGGAGTACTTCCATACACCAGAACGTCATCAACTATGGCTGCAACCCCATCTAGTCCCTCATAGCACTCGTCAATCCTTCGCTGAAATTCATCTTGTGCTGAACGTATCCCAAAGGGTAGTCTAAGAAATCTGTAACGTCCATACGGGGTGTTGAACGTTGTAAGAAATGAAGATTCCTCATCCAGTCTGATGGCCCAATATCCAGATCGAGCATCGAGTTTAGTGAAATAACGAGCCTTAGAGAGGCTTGGAAGGATGTCTTCAAGTGTTTTCATTGGGTAGTGTGGACGCTGTATAGCACGATTCAGGTCCAATGGATCCAAGCATATGCGCAGTTTCTTTGAGTGTGGCTTTTCAACGATTACTAAAGAGTTGACCCATTCAGTTGGTTCATCAACCTTTGTGATAATGTTTGACTTTTCCATCCGATCAAGTTCGTCTTTGAGTCTTTCACGAAGTGCGACTGGAACTTTTCGTGGTGGGTGAACTACAGGGATAGCACTCGGATCGATGTGTATCGTACATTCACCTGGAAAGAGCCCAATGCCCTCAAACACATCGGCATATTCTGCAAGAATGGTGCTCTTCTCAAGAGGTTTTCCAGATTTCTCACTCGATCCACAAGTATCAACCGCACAGGTAAGTTGGATAAGCTCCAATTCAAGGCATGTTTTGAGACTGAGTACAGGGTTTGATTCCGTCTCTACAACGTAATACTCAGCTGTGAATTCACGATCATCAATCTGACAAGGTAAGCTACATGTACTGTGAGTTTGAAGATGTGTACCGCCATACGCCATCAACTGTTTGGGCGGTTTACTGAGTACAGTTGTAGTGCCAATTTTGGGGAATAATCCAGCTGGTATGATATTTACCTGAGACCCTGTATCTAATTTGAATTCCACTGGTATGCCCTTAATTCCTACCTTCACAGTAACAAAAGCCTGGTTAGTATCCTCAGTTTTGGAGTGGACACTGTCAACATCACTAGATGTATCCACGCTATCAATTAAGTCTATGAGAAAGTCTGAGTCCCCTGAATCAAAGCGTTCATCTGTCACAACCTCATTGACTTTCACTGAGCGACACACAATCTTGAAATGATTCCACTTTCCACAATTGTCACATTTTCTACCTTTGGCAGGACACGGTTCACGCTTAGAATGTGATCTACCACAGTTTCTACACTGACTATGTGTTTTGTCATCACTGTTTGATGATCTTCTATTTGGTGTGTTGTGGGGTTTTACAGGTTGTGATTTCTGTCGGGAGTAATGATACTTTTTGTGTCGATGGGAATTATCACTGGCTGAAACTGTATGTACCTCAGGGTTGGCCATTGTTTTCAACTGTTCCTGAGAGTATTCCAAACTTTGTCCCATTTGAATTGCTTTCTCGAGTGTCAATTTCTCCCCTTCATTTATCAATTTTGCACGAAGTTTAGTAGATGATGTGCCGAACACTATGCGGTCCCTCACCATTTCATCAGATGTATTAAATGCACAATCTGTAGCTAGCAGCTTTAATCTAGTCACAAACTGATCAAAGTGAGATGACCCCTGAACTTCGTTATTGAATTTGTACCTTGCGAAAACAGGATTCAACTTTGGCTGGACGTATGCTGCGTAGCGAGTGTAGTAAGTTTGAAGTAACTTTTTGTCATCATCAGAAATGCCTGTCCATGTATTGTAAACATCTCTACCTTTTTCTCCCACCCAAAGTAGGAGGTATGAGCACTTCGATTCTTCCGACTTTTCCACCAACGGTCCGTCGAATATCAGTTGCACCTGCTGTTTAAAACGCCGCCACGCATCAGGCAGGTTTGATGCTTCCCAGTCCATAGATAGGGTGGGGATTCCGGAAAGATCCATGACTCTGACACCATGTAATATTCTCACGATTTGGGAATGATTTGTAGCACTTGAACTAGCCCTAGGCTGTTGCTGCCTCCGACGAATAAATAATGGAGAACGACATTCTGTGTTCCATCTTGTATTTATTGCCATAAATACACGGGTGGTACATCTGGTAAAACAGGGGGTCCCGACGGCTAGGTTGCCAAGGGAGATTACTCTAATATGTTATACACCATCACAGCCGCTAGTGGCATAATGCAGTATGATAACAGTACAGTCATTGCCACCACTTCAGGGGCAAAGGTTTCCTCGGTTGCAGAACTACAATTGCTCATCCGTGAAAACCTCTGCCTGTGCCCAGTTCGAGCGATTCGACTGTATCTACATGCGTCCGCCCCCACAGTCATTCCTGGAAGAGACTTTTCATTCGCTGTCGACTGCTTCTACATCAGAAATTTCCTATCCTTCTGGCTCTGGCTCTGCATCATCCTTCACCGGGCTGCCTCCACCTACAACATCCAACCCTCATGAGACTCAAGCGCTTGCTTCTACCATGGCTCTACACTACACAATCAAGGAAGGGCGCTTTTGGAGTCTGATACAGGTTTCGCATCTCACTACCTTCGCAACATCACGGACGTACAAGGGCTCCACAAGTTTGGTCCGTTGATATTGGCATAACTGTCTCGCCCCAGTTCATGCAGATACAACTGTTATACATCGGGATCCTTGTGGGTTACAATTGTATATACTGAATAAATCATTGAACGTTTACTTTTGTGTTATGTATTTTATATTGTTCAAGTTTTCCCAGATCAAGTCCCGTTTGGAGGGTGGATTAGCTTGTCTGTAGAGTCTTTTTAGTCTTCATCTGCGAAGTCACCATTAGCTGCGGCGGTTCATAAAATTAAGAACGGCGTACCGAACCTATATTCCACTTTCTTCCGCTTTAGGTATTTGTGATGTTGGGTTTTGGTTCGAAGGTCCTTGCCATGGATATTGTCGATCGTTCCTCTTCTTGTCTGGGTTCGCTTCATGCAATGTGTTTGATAACCTTGACGAAGTGTTTTTAATAACAGCAGCGCCAAACCTCGCATCTCAATTCCTTTAGCCTGATAGCTCTGTGAAAGAGAATGAAGTGGCAGAGGTATGCATGTGGTCAGTTTGAGCAGGCTTGCCGTGCATTGTCCTAGCAATTTGATGTTACCATGGAGATGCAGGGGGTGTTGTGCTGAATGTTTTGATTTCATTTTAGGGTGTGAGATACAAAAATCCCAATCATTCAGCATTGACTTTATGGCACGATAAGAGATACTCTAGATGTAAATTATTGGTCCATCCAATATATCAAATGATCTCCATTTGAATTTGATGAATTGTGACTTTCAGGTTGCTGTGGCCAAGGAGTGCAGGCGCATGCAGTGGGTTGTTTTAGATTGGAATACAGATGCAATTAGATTCTATCAAAAGATGGGAGCTGTGAACCTGAGCAAGAAAGAAGGATGGCTTATATACAGGCTAAACGAAGATGATATCAAAGCTGCTTTAACTCTGTAGTGCATTATGGCCAAGCTTGTATACAGGATAAATACCACGCTACTGGCAGAGACCGGCAACAGTCATCAATTTTCATTGTCTTTGAAATTATTCTTCCAGGCCTCAAAGTTTAATGTTTTCCTAAGGAGTTATTGGCTCCTAACATTTGTTTTTAAAGAGCCAATTTGAAATTCAATTCCAGGTGAAAAATGAAGGAGTCAAACTTAAAGATTATGGTCAGTAATGTATAATAAGCATCTCTAATCCATCTAATTGCAGCAGTACCAGTTCCTACCATTGGTGTAACAAGCTATGTTGTTAACTACATTGTTTAAAATACTTAACAAGATAAATTTTTACCTCACAATTCCCATGTTGATTTTTAGATTTTTTTACAATCAGAGTTTAGCTCAATTATTAATGTATTGTATCTCTGTCTCAAATATTATGCAGTTAGTAATATCTGATGGATAGTACCAAGAGAAAAATACTGTTTATTGGCATCACTTGACATTTTCATTGCTGGTTTTTAGTTTTTTCAATATTTGGGGGTTGCATGTCACTCCTTTGCAATGTCTAGGTTTTTCTAAAACATGTTTGAATCTTGAATACTTATTATCCCTAGAGCATATATTATCTCACCAAGGACAATCTTGCGCTGTGATACATTTTACACAAATGGATATATTATGAAAGTTATGACATATTCAAATGAAGGTCAGCTAGCTTTTTTTCAGTCACTAAGTTTGGGAAAAGCTATCTTTCAGCAAGATCAACATGGTTAAATAATTAAGGGGTCTAAAATGCCTTGAGCTATATACACTGCAAGGAAATCAGCGGTAAAAGATTTGCTTCTGCCAAATGTTTGCCTCCCAGTCATATGTTGTCCTTGATTAATCTTCAAATGTCTAATTTAAATATACCATAAGTGTTTAATTTAAATCATGTAACATTGAGAATGAGGCTTTCCAATGGTAACACCTCTAGAGCCTATACAAGTATTTGTTGCTCTGACAATTAACTTAGTAGTTCACTGAAATAGTAAATGAACAGTTTGCAATTGAATCTGTTTTTGTGACTTGAAACTGGGACTAGGCAGCATTAGAAATTGGCACCAGTCCTATAGTCCTTGCCCCAAATGCCCAATATGTAAGGCATCATAAGGACTTGTGAAAAATTGCCATTATTAACGATTTTGCTATATGTTATCATAATAAGGACTAGTGGACTAAAACAGTTAGTTTCTATCGCTGCTAGGTAATTTTTGTTATCAATCATATTAGGTATTGATAGTTTTCTTTGGGTATTCAATATATCTAAACTCACTTGAGTCAAGTATTGGGATTTTTTTAACCAATGTGTACCATAGATATATAATTTTTTAAATAATTCCAATTAAAGTAATGTTTCTAATTTGTATCTCTTTGTGTGCTTCCCTTCCTTTATAACATCTCACATAAACTAAATAACATTAAGTGAGACAGCCTTTTTATGCACTATTCACTGCAGGAGAGATGATGTACAGGTAATGCTTCATTTGATCAGTGAATGATGGCCTGTAAAGAAGTATGGATACTCAAATGATACATTAGGTAATTACGCAGTGTTGTTATCCTCTTGTTTTGTTTTTAATTTTCCATGTGTAATTTGTATGGAAGCAAGTTAAAATTATTTGCCGAACGGTAGTTTATTTTTGTGTGTAAAATGTGCTGCTTATCTGGATCTCTTTTGAAATCAGATTCCTGTAGAGAAAATGCTCTTATCAAATAAGAACTTCCCTAATCATGAAGGATGTAAGTCTCAATATCAGCAAAATAAATTTGATGTCTGATTCTTTGACCAGCTGTTGAACACAGTCATACTAACAGCTACAAATTGTTTTTATCCATCTTCTGATAAATAGCCACTGCCTTACATGCAAGGGAACAGTATGTAAAAAATTATTTCAAGTCTGTTTAGAAATGATTATGGGAATGATGATAGTCCCAGACTGAGTGAGCTTTTTCCATAACCTGTTTGTCTTGAGGCATCTGGGACCTGTCATGCATTATGAGAGCATAGTGCCAGAGAGAACTAAGGGCACCACAATAAAACTGACAGTATTAGGATGAGTGAGAGGATGAGGTGATAAAAAATATTATTTGTTATGCCAAGCAATCGTCAGTCTCATGGAGGAAAGTCTTCACACTGCTGAGATAGATTGCCCTACACAATCCTCACCATTCGTGCCGGTTCCAGATTCGAAGCCAAGGCTTGGAGCAGGTTCCCACTATGTCCACTGACTCCGAGGTCACCACGACGAAATCTAGCATCTTATGCTGGGTCTCAAGACGATAAGGGGCGGTCGGGTAGCCTAGTGGTTAAAGCGTTGGCTCGTCACGCCGAAGACCAGGGTTCAATTCCCGACATGGGTACAATGTGTGAAGCCCATTTCTGGTGTCCCCCGCCGTGATATTGCTGGAATATTGCTATAACCATACTCACTCACTCACTCAAGCCGTTAGGGGAGGAAGAAGTTATTCTGCAGATATTGGCGTATACAGGGTGCCAGGGCCCTCCACCTTAGCATGGAAGCACCACATTCTACCATGGCTGAGTTATAGGTCACCTCTCATCAACCAGTCAAACGATTACATCGGGAACTTGAGAAGTGATGGAAGACTACCACTTTCCCAAATGAAAAAAGCCAAATGTACTGCACTCATGATTGCCCTCCACCAGACCCTTCCAGTATGGATGAGGACTTCTACAGACTACACAAGTTTGCACATATGACACTCTCGATGCCCTTATCTAATCCTCGTTTTTGAAAAACAAGCACAACAAGGTAGTGGAGGAGGTGCACAGGTTACCACACTGGCTGCTACGTTTGAACACGCTGAATCTTTGTGATATGGTATTTAGACTACCCATACAGAAGAGCATTGCAATAATCCAGTCGAGATATGACAAAAGCCTGAATGAGAGATGCAGCCACGCGTGGATTGATGTGTTTCCTGATGAGACCAGTATTTCTTATATTGTAGTATGCCAGTTTGCAGACGTTCTTCTTTTCTTGATCTTTTCCCATTAATATAGACTTCAATGAACAACCACACCTTGTTACCCGGGCAGAGGGTCGTCGATTCCATCTTAAAGGCCCGATGCTAGCAGCAGCCTCTGGGTCTATTAAGACACTATTGGACAAGTGTGCCATATGGGAACTGGAGAATACTGATCATAGCAAAGGCTCCTATTCTCCAGTTTTCCTGGTACCCAAGAAGAATGCCACAGATAGGCACATGATCTTAGATTGGAAAGTTCTCAACATTTACATCCACCAAAGTTTGAGATGGAATCAGTACGGAAACATTGCACAGATTCCAGCTTAGTCCCTGAAAGTATTGTTACCTCAAGATGGTGCGGATATTCACTAATGTGGTAGATCGGCCAAACCACACTATTCGATGGTTGATGTCATTACATACAGAGGAAGATTTCATCTTTGTCCCATCCAGCTCTGGATGAACTCAGTATGGCCGGCAAAATATCGATATCTTAGCACCTTTCCCGTCAACATTTCTGAAAGACCTCACTTGTTTGACACGCTGGGAGAACGTCATAATGGGTATTCCACTCGTGTTTCCAACACCCGAACAACACTTATTAATGGATGGTTCCAACTCTGTTTGGGGAGCGCTTATTTGGACAGTCAAACGCTACAGGATCTATGGCAACCTTGTGAAGGGGGTCTTCACATCAACAGCCTCAAGATGAGAGCAATCTACTATGCACTCAACTTGTGGAAGAACCTCTTATCCATATCCTTGATACTTGTGGCCACACAGACAACACCATGGGGGTAACTTACATTCAGATACAAGGGTGGACCAAGTGATGTCATGGACTTCACAGGAGGAAGGGTTATGTGGGATCCAGACCGATAAGCGAAAGGGCCATCTAAGTTGGATAACTTTTGCCCAATCCCGTTGAACATATATGTCAATAAAATATGTTTAAAACAAAACAAGGTTTTGATTGAGGACATCACAAATTGGTTATTTGGACACAAGATATAACTTTAATTCTATGGAAGTTTACCACATTTTGTACATCCTTGGCATTTTTCCCAAAATGTGAATGAAATCATGTACATGTAATATTGGTCAAAACAACTAGAATGGTGTTGTTTGGAACTATTAGGTAACCCCAATTATTGAATTTTGTGGTTAAATATTTCTCTTTTAGTTCAGTAGACTGTTAGCTATCCAGGGTTTTTCTAGATGTCAGGTATATTCTGGATTTGATGTAACAGAGTGTTTGTATTTGTAAGAATTATTAAACACTAATCATCATAGTTATTATGCAAAGAATACTACCTCTGTTTCCATAACATAAGATCAGACAGACTTTATTATACAGAGTGAAATGTTTCTTTCAACATGGTGGCACTGGTGGTCCTGTCATCTAAGGTGCCACAATTAGCTGTGCAAAGCCACGTCCCAAGGGCGCAGCAAGAAACCTATAATTCTACCTCTATTACATTGTTGCCAAATTCCTCTATTTTGGTTGCAATCACACTATAACTAAATCTTCAGATTTTCAACAGACATCCTCTTCACTGTCAACTATTCCTAACTAGTTGTCACCACAATAGCACCAAGCAGCTCACAGCTCCTCTGTGTGCAAAGGCAGGAAAAACTCACTTCTTTCCTGCGTGTGATGGAGTCAACATCAATGTTCTCAGTCTTGTTTTTCTCGTACGCTTTGGTTTTGCATCTAGCTAATTCAGTTTATCTAGTCATTTATGTTGTTATTCAACTATTCAAGGAGACATCTGTGAATTGTCATGGAGACTTCAGCCACTCCCTCTACAATGCAAGTCGTGTGGCCATTTTATGATCACAGGAATCCCTCATCCTTCCTGCTGGAAGGGTCAGGATATCTTATGTTCTGAAGGTACTGGATGTGAGCAATCCAGTCCCAACAGGAAGGAAGCAGCAAGAAAACTGGGGGTGTCATTACAGCTCTATCCATCATACCTACATCTCCAACCTCAAACCCCCGCCTTTTCCATGAGCAGCTCATTTCCCAGCAGAAGTTGGCAATGGAATCTCTATTCAATTCCAATCTATCAGCACTACAGCAGAAGTGCAGCAACAGAAGTACAGACAAGATGAACAGGCAAAGAGGAATCCCCTGGCTGAGAGGCCACATAGCACTACATTGACAATCTCAAGAAGAAGGCTAGCACTATAAATCTGCGACAGTCTGGACTAGTACAAGCAGCCACACACACGTGCATGCACGTTGCTATATAAGTGCAATAATCTTGGACGCGACGTTAAGCCCCATTTCACCTCACCTCACCACCTCACCACCTCATATGGGGCACATGGAGCTCCCAGGTTTTACCAAGTCGAGATTCCCGACTGTTACAGTGTCACGACTGTTACAGCCCGGATTCCTTGCCTACCAATACAGAACCATACCGACCACCCACGTGCAGCAAATCGTCTACTGTTAAAGTGTCCTCACGTCCACAGATTCTATGAGTTACAAGCTATCAGATGATAACTCTTCAAGGGCTCCATGGAAATGCATGTTATCAACCACAGTCACCAGTCAGAATACAGCTCACACTGGCAACAACCGTAACAGGTTCTTGGATAACCATCCATGTTCTGTTAGTCATGGTACAATATCACTGACCATTATTATCATCCCAGGATTCTTGTCACCATCAGATGAGGAAAGCCACAGAGACCATGTGGACCCTTAGCTGTTACAGGCACCACACGCCATTGAACCTTTCTCCAGTGTAATAGCCTTATTTGCCTCTTCTAGATTATGATCCTGGCCTCTAATTTTCAGATTTATTGGAACAACTATCTTATACTGGTCCTGCAACCTTACCCCATCTCCGTCTGAACATGTCCATCATACCCCTCCCTTCATGTCATGTCATTAACCAACATTATTCAACATTACGAAATGCCACGCCTGTCGGAAAATAAGTGTCTGCGAGCCATTGTATGCTTGAAGCAGGATCAAGTCAACGTGATGTTGCAAGACAATTTAACGTCCACAGAAACACCATTTGGCAACAGAAGAATGCAGTGAGAGACCATCCTCGGAGTGGCAGGCCACACGTAACTAATAATCGACATGACAACTGGATTCGAACAACACACCTATGAAATCAATTCCATCCAGCAACAGTGACTGCAAGAAGCATCCCTGGCCTTCAACGAATATCTTCACAAACTGTACGTCGTCGCCTCAGATGTGCAGGGATTGTCGCCAGAAGACCCGCCAGAAGACCCGCCAGACGTCCCATTTTGACAGGAAACCACCGTCAAGCATGTCTACAGTTTTGCAGACAGCGTCTACGCTGGATGGACATGCAGTGGGGACAAGTTCTATTCACTAATGAGTCTCGTTTTCACCTCAGCCACAGCGATGGACAGATTCGAGTGTACCGACGTCGAGGTGAACGTTACGTCAATCATTGTGTCATGGAAGAAGATTGGTTCGGGGGCAGCAGCGTTATGGTATGGGGTGGGATTACAGCAAGACAGAGGACCCGTTTGATAGTGGTAGAGGGAAATCTCAATGGACAGCGCTACTGCAATGAGATCATCGGCCCTGTTGTTCTACCGTTTTTGCGTCGTCATGGCCCAGGCATTACCTTTTAACATGACAACGCCCGGCCTCATATTGCTCAGCTTGTTCAGGAATCTCTTCAACAAAATAACGTGAATGTCATCCCCTGGCCGGCTCACTCCCCTCTCTCACCAATCGAGCACATGTGGGATGAGATGGATCGGCGCCTTTGACGTCAACGTGTTCCACAGACACTCCAGGAACTTCGAAACATGCTCCAGC